TGCTTGCAATATGCTATTGGCTATCTAAGAATACCTAGCACGTAAACCATCACCCTGTCCTCATGTCAGATCAGCAGTTCTACAATAATGATCACCTGAACAACCGTGTGTGTTCCTAGTGGAAATAGGGAAATCTTGTGTGAACATATGATAACCCTTTCGCCATGCTTCTGATAAGCTGACACCTGAACTAGTTAACATGTCACCATGCATTACACTATCCTTATCTAGCTAGATATCTAATCAGATAAGATGTAGATTATCTAGATGCTTAAGATAAGATAAACACCATGAAATTCTGTGACACTACCTTGAAGGACTACACTCAAAGGCTTACATACAGTAGTGTTCCCTAAAACCATTCCTGGACCTAGCAAATTGGTCAAAACATAATTCTTTTCTTCTCAGATGAACTATCTATGCAAGCCTCATCCCTCAAGGTTCATCTGAAGCACAGCTGGCAGTAAACAAGACAAAAACACTCAATCTATACTCAAACTGTAGTTAAATACAGGTAGCTCAAACACAGTCCAGAATCAAAATATAGCATTCACAATTCCACTGCCAATAGCAGCACCTATGCCATAATCCATTAGCAAATCTCAGCAGCAATCCCAGTGAATACTCACCCGCTCCAAAGCCAACACCACCAGCAGCTGACTGCGCCATCTAGAAGATAAGACGTGTGAAATTCATGACACTTCATCAATAACACTACCACTCACCGTATTTCCTAAGCCCCCAAACCTATTGCGCTTCTGCTCTTGCTGCGGGGCTTGCTGCAAACCAACGGAATTGGCACCAACCGCGGGAGGTTGGTTTGCGACTTGGTGAACCGCTCCAAATGGCCTGTAGGCTGACTTTTCAGAAGGCATGGGAGCATACACTGGCTGCTGTGGTATGGGAGTAGCTGGCATGGAAGGCATAGGCAAGGGCACATTTAGTGGTATCGATGCAGAGGATATCTTCTCAACATGGTTGGAAGGGAACAACCCTTGGCGGCCCCTACATTTCCCAGTCCACCAATCCGCATTTGTCTCGTCAACAACCTCAACCATCTCTCCAGCAGAGAAGGACAAGTCATTCGGCTCCTATGTCCAAACTGGGTTAATTCTACACCGTTTAATAAGTGACGACACGTACCTGACCATCCTCATTGTAAGCCCATAGCGCTTTGGCCTTCTGTGAACGAGCTGGAGGAAGGGGAACCTGACGAGCAGGGGAAGGGGCAGCCCTGGGGGGACCAACTGCCAGGGACTGCGTGTCTGAAGTCTTCTGGAGTGCCGTTAGACGGGCCATGATATCTGCCGCATCGCCTGATGATATGTAGTTCTGGGAGGACAGAAAGGCGACATTCTGCTCGATCTGAGAAAGAACATGGGTGAGCAAAGCAGCCGCTTGCGGATCGGTGGGTACGGGCATAGCAGACAAAGGGGCAGAGGTAGGCGACGGTATAGAACAAGGAGACAACGTCCGCAGTGTCGGCCAAGGCCCCGAGGCGATACACTGACAGCCACAACCCTATGTTCGTGTGACCGTAACATAAACGTGACACTGAAGGGCGGACTTCATCGTTACTTAGTCTCGGTTCTATGGCTCCGTTCACTCTCATCAATGCTCTCCCTCCGTTCATATCTCCAGACGAACATCGGGCTATAATCGCCTCCACCCCCTCATCTTTCAGCGACATTCCTCCTGTCTTACGCCATAGAGAAGAAAATGTGTCGGTAACGATTGACCCTCCCTTCGAGGGATTCACTGCACAAGATGCCGCAAATGGAACTCTGTATGTTATCGAGAGGTATGCACATGCGATCCACAATTCTGTACACGCTGTTGACTATGTATAGTGTCCTTGTATTCATGTCTGCTGCGGGTCGCGGGTTCCAGGTCGAGTATCCGTCAATCACCTTGCATGCCATCTCGCGCGCGGAATCTGGTCCATCAATATATTGCCAGCTCGACGAAATTCTCAAAACCGTCGATGGCGCCGATCCAGATGGAGAATGCGAAGATGACATGAAAGAGCTCATCATTGTCCCGAGAAATAGCCAATCCCGTACGTACAGCGTCGCTTGCTCTCCCTTGCTACGCTGATTGCCACTCGTAGTTGAATCTATCTTTGAGAGCCTTTCCATATGCGCTTCGTTACATCCAGATCCGGCATCTATGTCGGATGATGTGGAAGATGACGCGTTTATTGACGCTGATGATTTAGAGACGTTCACCGGTGATGAAAACGAAGAGCTCAGTGAGGTTGGGAGGGTGCGCAGTGATTTTTCTCAAAATCATCGATATGCACCGTACTAGCTTTATCTTCACATTTACCTAGGCGGCTCTTGCCCACCTCGAATCCATCATCTATGATCCATTCGATCAATCGACTGGGAACAGCAATGCTGATGGCGGGTAGTTCGATGTTCGAACGTGAACCGTAAATAGTTACAGATGTACAAGTTGTTGATGCAGTGGCGCTGTGGGCCGTCGTAACTTATAAACACAATTTGAAGCCTTCACTGTATTCCGCGGTGTTTCTGATTTGTAATCGGGTCTGCTGAATTCCATGGTTAGTAAGTATGTGCAGTGAATTTATCCTATTTAGTATGCAGCCGTTCACTTCAGCCAGGTTACTCACACTAACTCTGTCGTCTGTCATGTTTGTAGCTTGGGTTCTATCTTAACTACCTTATGCAACTTGCGTGCCCCTTCACCTTCACTCGTGTCACTCTCATTTTGACCAACTAGACTCTTGATGAGTACAGTCGAATCTTCTGCACCCACTGGGACCGTCCCCAAAGCCCACAGGCCTGCTCATCTAATTCTCCCTGTTCTGGACCAACGATCAAGCTCGAGTACGAGATGCTTCGGTTCGCGCGCGTCTCCCACAGGCATGTTGAACTTTATCACAATAAGCTTTCCCGGCTATACCTCATTGGTTTATATCTCCCCACGTAGCAAATAATCCCAGCGTTTGTTCTCGATTTCACTATTCTTCCCCGCTTTTGCCTTCGACAACTACGAAGGGACAGCCGTCATCGCATCTCGGAGCAACCTGTCTGAACCCACATCCCACTGCAAGCTGTATGCAGAGGCCATTCCTCAAAGTTAGAATCCTCACATGGAACATGCATGACTCCCTACCGAAGGTATTCTGCAGCGTTCCTGTCTGTCCTTCACACATCTCCCACCAACTAACCAAACAAAGGGAGATCTGAGCGAGCTGCTTGGATCAACTTCACCCCAAGCGAAGACATCTGAATTCTGTGCAGGAAACACAGAAATACCAGCCCTAGATGCAGGGTCAGAACATCCTTATCACATCGTAGTAGTGTCCGTGAGCACACTGGATTGTCTGTCGATTTTTCCCTCACGCTTTTGTCTCTAGCGCAGGACAAGAGTGCCCCGGTCTCTCAGGTTCGACACTTTGCATATCTTGATGGTTGAGCTCAACTCAAAACAGGTATTCCAATGGCACTCGGTGCCGGATTCAAACTGAGAGATAAAGAACGGGATACGAGCAAAGAGGGACTGGGAGATGTGGCAGACTCGCCTGATGGCCGCTTGCAGAATGCCAGACATGACGAGGGAGGAGTGAACGATCCAATCCATGAGCCACAAAAAGATGATAGCAGGAAGCGGTTGAAGTCTACACGTTCTCTTCACCGTGGTCATTCCGCCATTGAGCCAGGGAGAGATGTTCAACGGCACAGCTTACGCCCGCATCACCACAGCCTCCATGCTCATTCCATAGGTTGGTCTACGATGCTGGAAGAATGGTACTGTCGTCGCATTATATCAAGTCCAAGCACCCGTTCGCTTCCTGGAACCGCGGGTGAGGATTTAGCGGCTCGTTCTTATCGTGATTCCCGTACAAAACCTTCCCATGAAGAGACACCTACAGCGCATAAGCCGCTGGGTGGCCCATATGAACTACTGATGAAGGAGCGTATGATGGGGTTGTATCTTGCCGTCTTTGTCAATGCGGATATCAAGCATCTTGTGAGAGGTGATAAAATAACGTTTTTGGCATGTTGATCTTCGGTTCACTATCTTTCCACCAGGCTCTTCTAAGGCTGCAGTGACCACCGGGCTAATAGGTGGGAGGGTCGGCAACAAAGGTGGTGTTGCTATCAGCATCAAGATTGCCGACACCACGCTTCTATTCGTCAACGCCCATCTGGCAGGTATGGGTACTGTTATCCACAGTGGCAACTGCAGTTGACGTTGTTCAAAGCTCATGAAGATAAAATACACCACCGAATTGCCGATTTTGTCAAGATAAAGGTTGGTGATTTGACAAATCTTCCTATAATTTTCACTGACCAACTTACTTAGAGCGAACTCAATGTTGACGACTTCCTCTCTACCGACGATCCGCGTTTAATGTCAGAAGGTAATATGTCATTGTACGCGTCGGACTGTATCTCACCTCTGTCATGCCGTCAAGATATTACCGACAGATTTGATCACACATTCGTTTTTGGCGACCTCAATTTCCGTCTAGACATCACTCGCAATCATGCAGACTGGCTTTTAACGAAGAAAGGTACATCTATTTCAGTTGTCAAACCACGTTTATTCAGTCCCTTTCGTCAGAATATAAACGGGCCTTAGCGTTTGATCAGCTTCGTGGTGTGATGGGTCGCGGTGAGGCATTTGTTGGATTCAAGGAGGCCCCCATCACCTTTCCTCCGACCTTTAAATATGATGTTCTCCGTACGCTGACGCGTCCCAAGCGCCAGACGTCCCGTAATCACTTCTGGGGCCCGGTTTCCAAACACTTCGCTCACGACCAAATTTTGGGTGGTATTGACGAAATCGGCATGTCTCAAGCCGAAGACCACAACAGACCTGACAATATATACATGGACTCAGATTCAGTCATTTCGTCGACACAAGCTTCTGTCCAATTCATGGTCAATGGTGAACCTATTATAAAAGGCGAAGAGTGTGCTTCGTCTCGAACGGGAAAACGTCACAGTAAACCTCCGCACAGACTCGGGTCAATCGCCGCCAAAAAGATGAAGGCGAGATGGATCGCGTTGATTTCACCATCTAGGACCCGCTCTTTTCATCAGCAATCGTCTAAACCGCAGATTGCACTGCAGACAGAGCCCCTCCCTGTGTCTGCGCCACAACCAGGCATCACTGTATGTGCTTCGACTCGGTTTATTGCCAGTAGACTTCCCAAGGGACCAGTAACTCGATCCGAGCATAATAGCGTGGATCGGATCGCTTCTCCTACACCAGACTCCCCGGAGGACAGTCCCGCGGATAAAGGCGTATACGACTCGTCTCATAAGCAACGTGTTCCTAGTTGGTCAGAGTGCTCTCGCAGCCTTTGAGGTCGAAACTGACATTGCCATACAGGTGTGATCGTATCCTATGGAAATCAACTGTACGACAGGATCCAGATCCGGAAGGCGAGCTGCTAGATACCCCTTCCTCCCGCACGCGTGTATTTGGCCTGTTTAGCGCATTGCGACCAATCCGCTCGCGGAAAGATTCGGCTGCGCGACATGTAGCAACTACAGCAGGATTCAGCCCTGTCGTCCGCACAGCCGATCCCATCCTTACCACCTTTTCTCACACCTCAGCACACATTCCAGGTTCAATACCAGTGCGGCAGACATATGTCCCCATGTCCCGTCCAAGGTCCGTCGATTCGTTCCCTAAACCAATCCGGGAACAGACCACAATCACGCGGGTAGAAACGACTACCGGCGCGAGCGCATACGCTTCGGTGGGAAGTTCAGTGCCCTTGGTGCACTCCAAGACCCTACCGCCAGATTTAATCGCCTCCCGGACTCCCGAAGACCATCAGCACTCACCAGCCATGGCATCTCCAGTTAATACCAGCAGCACATCATCCTGGACTCCCCGTTGGCGTGGACTTGTACCATTCCTCAATCGCGACTCTAGGGCACAGACAAGTGAGGGCGACAGCCCTAGCCTACGGCGTCGGCCGCAACCCAAACGAGGAGACATCATCTGCCTGGAGTATCGGACATTAGATGATCACGGCATGCGCAAGCTAGAGGGCCGGAGCGACCATCGACCTGTGATCGGTTCATACGCCATTTTCGTGTAGCTCCTATACCGACGTATGCACACGCAGCATGGTCGGGCTTTGTATACGCTCACTTCACACTAGATGATACCCACAATCTACAACTAATGGACACGGATTGCACTCTGGATACGACCAGGCGAAGCAAAGTTTGGCGTGCAGATTATGTCATAATGTGGCACTAATTCAACACGTAGCAGATACAGATGGTCGTGCAGTACATCTAGGCAGAAATGGTGACCTCGACCTCGACACCGGGCTCTAAGCTGATGCTTGTCTGACATGCACAGAGTCAGAGCACGGACGCGGTATGTGTGGGCAGACTTACGATCTGCTTGACGATCTCGCTCGAAGAGTGCAGGTCGATCAAGCGCTTATGGACTTTGAGCTCGTAGCGGTCCCAGGTCTTGGAACCCTCACCGCAGGGCTGTTTTTGCATCATAATCAGTCTGCATGACGGCTAAAGTAGGATGAGACATCCACGGACCGTCTTGCGAGTGGTAATTTTGAGGACCTTGGTGGGAAGACGAACGGGGCCCTTGACATGGAGCTGCTTGTCCTTCGCGCGGTTAATGAGGTCCGCAGAAACTGCGTCGACGAAGATATCAGCCGATAACGTCGAAGCACTGCGATTGTAACCACGTACACTTCTCCAAGTTCTTGACGTTGCTGCTCGTGAGCGTGATACGGATTTTGTGAATCTTGGCGGCGGGCACAGGGGCACCGGTCGCGTCGTATTCTTTCTCACCCTTAGCGACGTAACTCATCCTGGCTGGTTTGGAGAGTCAGAAGGTGACTGGAGCGAAGGACGGGCGGTCAGCATGCGCAGCGACGCAACGACGAGCAGACAGACCTGAGGGTGTTGTTGATGGTGGACAGAAAAATAAAGTTCACGCGCGAGCAGGAGAACTGGCACGGGACTTGCCGGTGATCGCGATATGTTACATAATCAAGCCTTGCAAGGCTTCGCCTCCCTGGGCGAAGCAGCACTGAAGCTTGCTCTGCTGTGCGTCCAAGCATGCAAGGCCCGTGGTTTGCTCTCATCCTCATCTGCATCCTCTGATATCTGCGCAGGCTTCAACAAGTACTACCCACCTGACTACGATGGCACTAAACATGGCAGCCTCAATACATACAGAGGTATGCCTCTGCAAGCGTCCTGGTTGCTCTCACTAACACGTCTATCCACCTCAGGCAAACACGCCCTCGGCGACCGTGCGCGCAAGATAGACCAGGGCATTCTCATTGTTCGTTTCGAGCTTCCTTTCAATATCTGGTGGTACGCGATCGTTCCGCTTCATCAGGCAGCTGTATCCTCACCTCTCCGTAGCGGGACATGCAACAACCACATTGGCATGGGTGTGCGCTACAACGCCGAGAAGAAGAAGATTGGAAATTACTATTCCACACCTATCTATTCGTTTCGATGCAAGTGCCACCTCTGTGATGGCTGGTTCGAGATCGAGACCGACCCTAAGGTAGGTATAGACCCTGTGCCTCTCTGTCTATCTCACCCGGCGTCGGCAGAACACCCGCTACATCGTCACCTCTGGTGCGCGCCAGAAAGACGAAGAATGGGATCCAGAAGAGAATGGCGGCTTCGCAGTCCATGACACTGACCCGAACGCGGGGCCCGTCGACCCGCTCGCAGCGCTGGAAAAGTCGACCGCGGCAGAGACGTACATGACGCAGGTCCAGGTCCCTCGGCTCGAAGCGCTACAGTCGCTCGCGGACCACTACAGCACGGACCCGTACAGTCTCTCGCGGAAGGTGCGCAAGCGGTTCCGCGAGGAGAAGAAGATCGAGAAGGCTCAGGAAGAACAAGACAAGCAGTTGAAAAGCGCGTACGGGTTGCCAGAAGAGCTGCCACTCAGCGCGGAGAGTGAGGAGACGCGCGCAGATGCGAAGCAGAAGTGGAGGGAGGAGCGGGAGGCGTTGTGGATGCGCGAAGCGAAACGGAGGCGAATCGAGGCCGTGCCAATATCGGGCCTGGCAGCGATTACGAGGAGAAAGGAGGGGTCTGCAAGAAACGGGACGGATGCGGTGTCGAGTCTGCGGGCGAAGATTCTGGAGAACACGAGAAGGACAAGCACGGCAGGGGACTCGAGTCGTCTGAAGCCCCCCGACGTGAGGGGCAGTATTTTTCGTCGGTGATAGACCGTCGCGTTCATCGCGTCATGTATCGTTTCCCTTGCGCATATCCAGGTCTTGTTATTGTGTAGCATTACTGTAAATTATAACAACATTCATGTTTGCCGTGGTGCTGGGCCCCTCCTTTGAATACTGCTGCTTTGTGTGGTGGCCTTTAAATGGACCCGAGCTCGAGCTGGAGTAGGCATCTAAGCGCCAGGTCAAGCATAAAGTTGATTACAATTTCGATCGCAATCAGAGATAGCTTCGCAAAGCCGACAGTCATCTCACAGCCGCGGCTGTCTTCAGTCGAAATACGTGTCTGGGGAGCTAGACTCTGGCCCGAAAAGACACTCACGGCCGTTTTGATGGCCACACGAGTACCCATTCCGATCACTGTCTTCACTGGCTTTCTCGGCGCAGGAAAGACATCCATCATTCTTTCCCTCCTCCCGCAGCTCCCAAAAGACTATCGCGTCGTGCTACTCAAGAATGAATTTGGTGACGTCGAGGGTAAGCTGATCGAGTTGTTTCTCAACCATCACAGCTGACAATGAGGTACTTTCCACACGTCTAGTGGACAGTCAACTAGCCAAACAATCCAGTTTGGCAGCTGTAAGCGAGATCTTGAACGGATGCATGTAAGTGAGTGGTCCAAGTCCACAGAAAAAGACTCATGCCAAAGGACCATGCTCCAGGTGCTGTGTTCTAGTGGGGCAGATGAAGACTGCATTGCTGGAGATACGAGGTAACTACCAATGGTACATTGCGACCAACGTCTCATAGTACCCAATCAACCGCAGAACAGTACCGTCCAGATCGGATCATCATTGAGTGCTCGTTCGTACCTGTGTCATCACACTGTCCTAGCTCTTACTTTCAGCTGTGCTCAGAGGCTCCGCGTTTCCCGCAACGCTAGCCTTCCAAATCCGCGAGCTGGAGCGTGAGACGGAGGGCGACTTGAAGCTAGACGCGATTGTCACAGTGATCGACGCAGAAAATTTCACGGAATACGAAGACACCTCGCCCACTGCGAGAATGCAAGCAAGCTACACAGATGTGCTGCTAATTGTGAGTGCGCCCAGTCGTCTTTGAGCAAACAGGAAAATTATGTGCACTGCAGAACAAATGGGAGCACGTATCTGAACGCGCGCTGGATATTTTAATAGATCACCTGGCCACGCTGAACGACCTGACGCCCAAGATCAAGTGTAAAGGCCGGGAAGGCGTGGACCCGAATTTCATTTTCGGACTGGATTCGAGACTATTCCGGTTGGAAGACGATAGGACAACAACGGCGGACGGGTATCACCATGAGGAGGTAGAGACAGCCACAGTATACCGAGGGACTGCGCCAGCCCATAGAGACGGACATGGCACGGAGTGCGAGTGCAGCGATAGTGATGTCGTTGATGCACATGGAGGGGGCGTGGTAGAAGCAAGTGTGTTGGCCGAGGCACTGGCGGGGCTATCGAAGGACACAACGTGGCGCGTGAAGGGATTTGTGCGCTTTGCCGACGGCGAGCGCATCCTGAACTGGGCATTCGGGCGATACAGCCTGACGGACGCACCGACAGGGACGTTGAGGAGCTCGGACGGGGTGCGGCTGACGGTGATGGGCGAGCGGGGAGAGGTGAGGCGGGCAGCGCGGCGGCTGGCAGACAAATTGGGCGCGCAGATGATGGTGTAGTTAGTGATTACGTAATTATGAAAAACAAAAATCACATGCGCCTCCAGTGATCGGAGTCTGGTCGTCGCGACTTGCAGTGGGTGAGCTCGCCCGGTGACCGTCTCTCCTGGCCTCCAGCCTCATGTTCTCCTACGTCCTCAGCTCAGGTGCGTCCTCGCAGACATTCGCAAAACAAAATCTGAATTTCGACAGCGAGCACCTACTTCCGCTTGCCCATCGACGAGGACCAGTTCGACGACGAGGACGACAACGTCTTTTCCAGCACCCGCCATATCACTTGGAACCCATCCGGTAGCAATTCAAGCGACTCGGATGACTCGGACGCTCCATTTTCTTCCTCCTCTAGGTCCTCCTCCCCCAGCACAAATTTCGCTAGCAATTCTAACAAAGCCGTCATCCGCGAAATCCTCTCCCAGGATGATCTCTACCGTATCCTCGGCATCCAGCGCGCACCATGCATAGACAGACTCACTCTCCGGCGAGCATACCTCTTTCGCTCAAAGGCATGCCACCCCGAGTGCGTCCCGTACTTTGTCCGCCCGTTCTACCCGCTAATACGCCCTCTCCACAGCAAATTTCCCGATAGTCCCGAAGCGACGCGCGCATTCCAAAAAGTCTCCGTCGCATACGACGTCCTCAGCAAGCCCTCCTCCAAGCGTCTCTACGACTCGCGTCCGCCCCAGTCTCCGTACGATCTGTTCGCCTCCCGGCCCTACCCTGCCCCCGAGGAGACCTTCCGAAGTGTCGTCCTCGGCGTGTTTAACGACATCCTCGACGGCGACCTCGACATGATCCGCACCCTCCTTCGTATGTTCCTCCTTTCTGTCCATTTTCAGTTCACAATTGTTCTCAACCTGCGTGGCGCGACCAGGTGCGGTGAATGATATCAATCCCTCCCTCCGCCTCGGCGAAGACGGCATCAACTCCGTCCTGCTCACCCTCCATTCCATCCGCGAACGCGCACTCAGTGAGTTGTCTGATTCCCCCTCCGGCCCGCTCGCCACTGAACGAGTCTGTCCGTTTTATCTCTTCAGCGTGCCGCACGTGCATCCTCGCACTGCACTCTGAGCTCACGAACCTCCTCGAAGTCCAGCGAACATTCCGCTCGCTCTCATACCTCGACCTCCGCCGTCGCTCATGCCTCACCGTCCGTCTTGCCCGATTGACTGTCAGGCTCCCCATCGCGCTGGAGCAGGCCATCCGCCAGCAGCGCGGGCTCGACGTCTACGGACCCCCCGCCGCCGGGGTGGGCAGGGGCCGGGATGGCGTCGGTGTTGGGACCGGAAGCAACCGCATACGCAATTACGCTGAAGCCGCCAGTGTCGACAACGCGGAACGGACAGAGCTTCTCAATGCACGAGTATACACCCTCTTGTGCGGGCTCGTCCACGTCCTCGAACGGATGGAGCGGATTCTTAAATAGATTGCTAGTGCCTTCTACTTATTTTATGTGGTGACTCTTGCTCGTCCTGCACTCATCTACAATAGATCATACTTCCTTACAGATTCCCACCTTGCGCCATTCCTCTCACTCTTGCGAAAACTTCCGTGACTTAACTTTTTCATAGACAAATAAAAACGGCTAGGTAGCTATAACGTCGACAGATAGGGGAGGGCCAGCCGGGTTTGTACACACTACTACACAATACACTGTACACGAGAGCACCGAGTTGCATGGCACGAGGGCCAGAAGCAAACGCAGACGCAAAAATACACATCACGATTCGCGATTCAAATCAGGAACCCAAACAGAAACCAGACATCGCGCACCACAATCAATTCGTCCATATCGCGATCCCTGCCGATGGCCCTCGCTGGCCACAGAGCACAGACAGGACCAAGAAGACATCCACAGCATTATCGGCTCACCCACACCTGCGTCCCCACGCCCGGCGCCATCGTCGTATCCTTTTCTTCCAGCATATACGACTCTTGTGACGGCTGATAACCATACGGGCCCATCGGCTGGGACGCCGCGGCTGCGGCCGCAAGCAGATGGTTGAAGTCCTGGCCGCTGCCCCCGTTTGCGCTCGCGACCGTCGCGGCAGCATTGTTCTGGTTCTCCGGGTAGAACGGGTAGAAAAGCCCGGGAGGCACCTCGGCGAGTTTTTTGTCCGCGGGCGTGCCCGGTGCGCCGTTTGCGTTCGCGCGGTCCGGACTGCCCTTGCCCGACGAGCCGCCGCACGAGGGTGCCTGCCCGCCATACGGGCCCGGCGCGCCCGAGTACTGCGCGGGGCCAATGGAGGGGCTCGTCGGCTGTGCGGACGCTTGAGCGCCGGGCTTGGGCGACAGAAGGTGCTCCGTGTCCCAGTCGAGCTCGGAGAGAAGTACGGGCGGCGCGGCAGGCGCAACTTGGTGGAGGTTGACAGCGAGGACTTTCTCTGCGAGCTTGGCGATGAGAGGGTGGCCGCCGTTGAGGTCTTTGCGCTCCCAGCGCCAGCGGAAGCTCGGGAGCATGTCAAGCGCCATCCACACATCCTCGACAGCGACCTGGCGCGGGATGGGGTGACAGCGCGACATGTGACCGAACAGGATGACCATCGCGGATATGTGCAGTGGGATCGGGGAGACGAAGAAGGCAATATCGGGGAAACGTATCAGCTGGTTGTGCACGATGATGATGTTGTGCGACGTGATGATGGCTGCAAGTGGCGCATGAGTAAGATAGAAGGCGCATTGACAAAACACACACACCGTCCTTGAGCGCGCGATACCGATGATAGTAGTCAAGCTCCTTGGAGCTGAACAGGGCTCGCAAGAGCAGAATCCGCGTGATCCCAATCTTGAGTAGCGTGAGGCCTTCGTCCTCAGTAATGTCTTGCACGAGTTTTGTCCTCTGCTCAATCTTCCACTCGTCTGTGCCCCCAAAGAACCACTTGTAGCTGTCTGGCAGCTGGCGTCTGAATTCGGCCATGCTCTTGATGATCCTGGTCGCATGTCGCACGATAGCGTCCGCGCTCTGCCTCGTGGGGGTATACAACGAATTGATAATGTCCGCTTGGATTTCGACAATTGGGGCAGAGAGCACGAAATGGTCCGAAATGTCCGTCGACTTGGCACGCGCTGGCTGAGGGGTATTCGAGTCGGACGGCGCAATGGCAAGCGGGCGTCCGAGCAGGATGGACGTGCCGCGGTCATGGAGGAGGACGATGCCCCAGAGACGAATGCGGAGCTGACACTCCTGCTCAGAGAAGATCTTGTCCTGAGAAGCGGGGTCGTTCTGGGAGGTGGGATCGTGATGCAGGCCGAGCTCGATGGCAACGCGGACCAGGCTGCCCACGAGGCGCCATAAGGTCCGGCCCTGTCGCTATCACCAGATATACGTATCAGTACGAGAGGGATCACAGGAATACCGACCGCAGCCGAGATTAGGACACACACCTCTGTGTAGAGATACCAATGGAGGAGAATGAGCGCCTGGAGGCTCGACACGGTGACGCGAAGGTCGGGTTTGACAGCGAGCGCGCGCTCGAAAAACTCCTCGTGTGAGGGCCAGTCTGCAGGCATCAGCCTCCGAGGCGCAATAGGGCTGGTTGCATTTTGGTTTCCGTCCTTCTCCATGCCGTTAGCACGGTGATTAAGTTCGCTGAGAGTGCTGAGGGCGAGCACGAGGTAGACACTGCACACGAAGCCAGGGTCGTGCTGGAAGGTGCGGCCCTCATAGAGCAAATCGAGAGCTTGTTCAAACTCGCGACGGGAGAAGACTGGGCGGTGATAATTGAGACGGGCAAAGTAGGCTTCGAGGATGCTGCGGACCATGACGCGGTCTTTGGGGAGCCAGACGGCGACAGAGGGCACAGGGGGCGGGACGGTGTTGGGCGGAGGGGCGCCCTGCGGAGCGTTGCCATTGCGGATGGAGACCGAGATCCACTTGCTGGCGTCGCGGGGGAGGGAGGGTTCGACAAAGTCACGGTCGCGGCCAGAGGAGAGGCCGTTGGAGCCGACCGCAATATCCTCTAGGTCGGAGGGAGGGAGCTTGAGGCCGGCGACGATCTCTTCGTTGACGCCAAAGCCCCTGACGAGAGCCTGTAGACATGCTGAGAGTGAGAAAGGAGAGAGAGAGAGACGGGGAGAAAGAGGGAGACGTACACGAGTGTCTGTCACGTCGTATGACAAGGGGTCCTGGCCCTTGATGTCGTGGGCAGACGGGGGACGGTGCATGCCGGGATGGGGCATGGGGTGCTGGAAGGGGGGATAGATATGGGGGTTGTAGCCCGGAGGAGGGGCCTGCATGGGCATGTGAGGGTGGGGGGGGACATAGGGAGAGCCGGGGGAAGGGT